AATGGCCAGAGTTTTGGGATGGATTTTCGAGCTCGATAGACAACAATGACCAATTGTCGGATGTTGACAAGTTCGCCTATCTGCGCGGATATTTGGAAAAGCCAGCAAAGTCTAACATCGCTGGTCTCTCGTTGACGGGAGCGAATTACAAGTACGCGCTGGAATTATTAAAGAAACGATTCGAAAAGAAAAGCGCAGTACAACGGGCGCATGTAAATGAACTAATGCAATTGCCGGCAGTTTATAAAGAACGAGATACACTAAGATTGCGAAAGTTGTATGACAGCTGCGAAGCGAACAACCGCGCATTGAAAGCCCTGGGAGTGAACGAAGACTCGTATTCAGCCATTGTTGTTCCAACAATCATGGAAAAGTTGCCAGAACAGTTTCGTTTGACCATCACGCGAGGGCAGAACTTTCTAGAATGGTCGATGGAAGACATGTTAGACGCCTTTGAGAAGGAACTCGAACTTCGCGAAGCGCACAATGCAGTGGGAACGAATTCGGATTGAGAGCAGGAAAGACACGAGCGAAATTCGGGTTTAAAGAAATATGGCCAACATCATCATGGAACTGCACTGTTAGCAAACGAAAGGAGAGGAAACTGTGCCTTCTGTTTGAAGAACCACAATCACGAAGACTGCGAGGGAGTGAAAGATCCGAAGACACGAAAGAGTTTGGCTCGTAAATACGGTAGATGTTTTCTTTGTTTATGTAAGGGCCATAGAGCCAGTAATTGTACTGTTAAATATAGGCGTAATGGTTGCAATAGACAAATTGCGAAACTTAGTGGCCGCGCCTTCATACTGCACGAGAACGGGGCTTATTATGCAACAACAAAACAATTTCTATATTTTTACATAGCGAAAAGTGAATTTTAGGGTTATTAAAGTGTTTTTTCTTGAATCTCTTTGATCTTTTCTTAATATTTCGTGCTAGGTTATATAAATATTTGTTACATTTATCTAAACATCGATTTCCCACTATATTTTTACCCGCTTTGGAGAGATATTTCGTTGTTGTTTTAGCATGCGATGGGACAAACATGGAAAAGAACAATCTAGACTTTAAAATCTGATCAAGATGCAAATAAAATAGCCAGTATAACTTAACAAACTAAAATATAACTCTTTCTACCCAGATTTTTTTAGACTTCGTGCGAGAAAAAACGATTTTGTCAGAGGATAATAACATAAAATTTCTACAAATTTTGCCCGACATTTTACTTTCATATTTTTAAAGTTAAAATCGAAAACTTGCTATTATATTACAACTGAAACAAAATTAATCAATGCTACAACTTATTCTTTGAAAAGTATTAATAAAACAGACGGAAAATACCTGATTCTTTCTCTGGTATAATCTGCGTCTTTTATTGGACGGCGAAAAACAACAAAACATTGCCTCGCACGCCGCAAAAAACAATGAAATTTGAAGTAAGACTAAATCTATGAACAAGTTTAATAAAGATTTACATTAGGCCATGGGCCAAGTGCCGAAAATGTGCTTAGAAATCGATTTTGAATACGCACCTCGGGGAACCAGATGAATTTTGCACCGTAGTTAGGTTATGTATTGTTGATTGTTTTTTTATGTATGCCAAGCCTGATACTTGCACATTAAGTCACAAATCGAGTCATTGTGTGTGAAGTTTTTTTTTATAGTTGGCGGCCATCTTGGATTGCGTAATTTCATATTTCATGCAAATTGCTCTCTATATTAACTTTGTTTTCACATGATAATTTTTAAACTGACATTTGCACTGACCAAGCCCCAAGGTGTGCTATCTGTTAAGTAATATCTGCAAAGAGCTTTTCATACTACTATTTTTCGTGTACAGGTGTATGTACCACAGAATATCACAGTACCACAGAATACCATTTCACAGAATATCACAGTACCACAGAATGCCATTTTTTTTATTTCTCTTATAAAATTTGAAGGAAACATGCTATATACTTTATGTTGTAAATATATATTTGTTTTAGTCTCAATGGTCATATGAAAACGAAAAATAGATATTTTCATAAAATTTTTAAAAATAATCGGGATAAACAACATATAAAATTCCTTAGTTTTGGTACTTTTTTCTGCTTAATGCCGGTAAGATCGGAAAGTTTGAAAATAAGTTTGCAAACCAACATAATTTACATTTATCAACAGTTTTTCTAAGGGATACAACATTTTTACTATTCAGGAATCTCACTGAGTAATCAAATTTACAAAAAAACCCTCAATTTTTCAAAATTATTGGTAAACCTAATATACTGTGGTACATACCACTGGTATTCTGTAGTGATTTTAGTATTAACCTTCCACTAAATTAAGTTAGCAATATCTGTGCAGTGTTATCACACATGACACACCAAATCCTCGTACAATTTGATAAACCGTTCCTTACTTATTTCCGCACTGGTATTCTGTGGTACATTAGGATTTTATCCACAGAATGTCCAATTTAAAAAATAATAGAATATGCCAAATCTAACCAAAACCCAACAGGAAGAAGAAATAATTAAAAACTATACTAAAAAATATTTAACAGGCTATGTTATATGCATTTGACAAAGGATATAGAACATGTAAATTTGTGTGGTATTCTGTGGTACATACACCTGTAATATAAATTAAGCGCACAAGTTTTTTTTAACAAAACAAACAACAATTTCAACTGTAACAGTTTGTAAGATGGTGCTGAAATGAATCTTTATTCTCTATTTAATCAGTATTATTTTTCAAATATGCATAACAATTTTTATTTATTACAAGTTGGTTAATCACCATGTTTTCTTTATAGGATGTGATGGGGGTGCCTGTATTTAGGTATTGAATACAAGAACCATCAAATACTGTTCAATTTGATTTAAATACTGTTTACCAGAAACCCTTCAGTAACCACCCCCTGCATTTGCTATTGGGTTCCATCCGTCAATCAATGTGCATTCCTATTTAGTCTAAAAGCCCCCCTCCCCCTTTCAACAGTATCTATCTTACTGGAGGGTGTACAGTATTACTCAATTATAATTTATTACAAAGATATACATATGACATATAATGTATTGAATGCTGCAACCCTTATACATTGGGTCATTAAACTAACTATAACAGTGGTGGAAAACAACATTTAGACAAAACCTACATAGGCATAAGTTTGTTGTTTGTATGGATTATTAAACACTGAAAATATAATTTTTGAAACACATTGTAGTCATACATATGTTCTGGTAATAAAACTCAGCTGAAAGTATGTATTTAAAGACAAAGTGCCGAAATGCATACTTTTGAATTTGTTTTAATACATTTGTAATAATAAAAAATAACCATGTTAACATTAGTATCACTAAAATATAGTGAAACTTTAACTCAATAATACTAAACAGACTTCCATGACATTCTTTAAGAATTTAGGACGTATCTGAGCTGATTGAATACCTAACTTGATTATATTTCGGTTCTTTGTAATAAAACACCACAATATTTTGCACAATTCTCAACAATCCTCTCTTACATTTTTTGGCATTCTCGTCCCTTATAGCGTGTATTCTTTCTTCCCTTTCGACCTTCTGTTTGTTACAAAACCTGTTGCAGCACTCCCGACGAAATTTGCAGTAGGCTGGTGTTGGCAGAAAACTCTTAGCATTATCTGTGTGCGTTGTCTCACACTGTGAATCGAGACGCAAGTCAAGTTTCGCCTCCGAATCATGTGCGATTGCGCCCTCTTTACAAATAAATTTCTTCCACTTTGCTGCGAATATCACAAAATTGCACCATGATGTATATGTAAAATACGTTAATTTTCCTCTTGCATTATTTATTATATGCATATAATGCAAAAATCTTTCCCTGGCGGTCTGCCTTCGCCGACGGACGCCATATTTGTTTACAACTAGTCTTTGTTGCGACTGAAACATGATACACTTATCTGATTGGTTTATCGCTGGGCAAAACCCATGTTGATTGGTTAAGAGATATAAACATGCTGTGTATTTGAAACAAAGTATTCAGTGGATTCATACAAATTAGTCTAAAATTAGTCAAGAAAGCAGTTGATTTTTCTCATTAATGTGCAAGACTCACGATTGGCATACCACATAATTTTGTTCTAAAATACATGTGCTAATAGTTATTGAAAAAATTTTTTGGTTCCCCAAGGTGCGTATTCAAAAGTCACATTTTCGGCACTTGGCCCATGGCCTAATAGTCAAAACAAAAATATTGAAAAAAATGAAGAGATTACCATAAAAACGCGTCTCAAACACTGAAATTCGTTTTTCGCCATACAAAAATATAGCAGAATGATTTGTTTTTGCATAATAAGCCTCGTTTTCGTGCAGTTGAAGGCGCGGTCACTAAGTTTCGCAATTGGTCTATGGGGCACATCATGTTGCATTATGTGATGCAAGCCCTAAAAAAGACGATAAACATGACAAAACAGTCGAACCTGACGAAGAATCTAAACAGGTCCCTGTTAATAATAATGTGCATGTGACTAGTTCCAGTAGTAACTTGCATGTGGGAACTGGTAGCCTGGTTGCCTTGCAAACTGCACGCGGGGTTTTAAGGGGTGAAAGGGTGGCTAAGGTGCGGGTTCTCTTTGATGCGGGAAGTCATCGTTCCTTTGTTACTTCTAAAGCAGCTGGTCTTGTGAATCCCAAGGGCTTAAGAGTGAATGTCAGTAAAAATCGAACATATGAGATATTTCGCGGCCACGACTGAAAAATCGATTTTGCTCAAATTTTGCCCAGATATACCTTATTATATCGGAAAATGCACCATATATTTTTTTTGGCCAAATGCTTTTTTAACTTTGAGAAAATGCCGTTTTAACACGACCACCCTAAATCGCCATTTTGTCTGGGAAAATATGCGCTGATTTTACCGACAAATTTCACGACGACAACCGTTTCTAATCGATCTAAAACCCTAAAAATCTTGTTTTCGGTTATTCAAAGGACCGGGTACGTGACTTACAAGAAATCTGAGTTACTTTTAGGAATAGAAATAATCGTAGTTTTGGAGCACACTATCTTACTTCATTTACGATACCCTCTTAACAAAACCGATTTTCACTATGGGATAAAGCTCCAAATCGATCATGCTTCTACTAGTTGGCTCTTTAATAAACAAGCTTTCAATTGACGTAAATACTTCTTTGGGCAAATGAATACGCAATAAACGACAGCGCGCTGAAATCGTCCGTTTTTGACGTCTTGCAAGCAAACGCTGTTAATTTACATACCGTCGAAGTAAACAATTTAATCAAGTATTCTAAGTATTTTACCTTTTGAGAAGGAGATATATTCTTGAATGGAGACTTTTTGCCTTGCTATAGTTTAAAATTGGTCCAAAAATCCTGATATATTTGTAAAATATCATCATATGCAGGTATTTTGAGATATAATATTGTTGTCAGTTGCATAATAACTTCAGATCACTGTTCAATATTGTCTACTTTTAATAGCGCTAACATACAAATCGATGAGCTGTTTAGGGATTATATTTGCTACTAAATTTCCCAAAATTAGAACTTCAGTTGTTGTTTTGTTCCAGTTTGATCCATATAATGTACCATTTTACAAGCTTTTACATATCGACTATGCTATCGAGTATAAATGTTTACGAATACATAAGTTAATTATTAAGCAGCTGTTAATAGCGTGCGTGTGAAATGAACATTAATCCATACAAGGTTTGTTATTTTATTACATATTCTACCACCTCAAACTCAAATTATAGCAAATAGTTTAGAATAATTATTTTAATGTGTGTTCACTTTGATGCTCAGTTAAAATAATCAGTAAAATTACTTTCTTTTGATACACTATTGTTTATTGATCTTTAATATTATATTCCACAACTACTAGTATCCCAAAAATACAGCATTGAGATATGTTACCCCAGTGCGACACCAGAAATTATTATTGTCTCCCCACACGTCGCGTTTAAAAAAAATGGAAGCTTGTTGCTAGTTTAACGCCGGATTAACCATGTGTCAGATGCGGCAAATGCAACGGGCCTCGCGCTTATGGGGGCATTGCGCTTTACTGTGCCACGCCCATTTTTACGAGAACACGGCCATTTTCTGTTGGGACACACCCATTTTAGGTGCCTCGCGAATTTAGGGCCCCTAGGCTTGGCAGTTGGCCCCAGCACGGCCCCGGGAAGATATGCAATACTCGTGTGCATGTAATCTCCAGGTGCGTTGAGCTGTTATATTATGATCCTGTTTATACATGTTGACCCAACAACTGTGCCAGGCAGGCCATTGTTTCGTTTATAACTGATGCTAATAAATTAAAATATTGAAAAAAATTATTTAACAATTTTGTGTGTCTTTAAATTCAAAGGTTTTCATAACAAGGCGGAGAGTGGGGAGGGGGTTGGGGGGAGGGGGTTGGGGGCCTCGCGCTAAATTCTGCCACGAACCTCGCGCGACCTTAATCCAACCCTGGTCACTTGTCGGTAGTTCTTGTGGTTTTAATGCCAATTGCCAAAGAACGAAAGAGAGCACCGATGACTTCCCCCGTCGGAGAATTACTGGCGCAGCCCAGGCCAGCTCAGTGAAATATGGTGGCCCAGGGCCAATTATATCTTTGGGGCCCCGGTGAACCACAATAATTCCCCTCCCACCCCTCCGTCGACAAACTTTTTACCCCCTTGCAAATTTGTATTTGCCGGCCCTCCTTGAGCTGCGGTCGCGGAGAAAATTGCTCCCTTTGCCCCCCCCCCTGCAAGGGCGGCCCTGGCACCACCCCTGTCTTATAACTATCTACCTCAAATAATTTTTAAAGCCCTGGTCTTTTTCAAGCAGTTTTTTGTCCCGAAAAAGTAAAAGACTTAGAAATGGTGATTAAATTATTTACTACGGTATGTTATTTAATAACGAGCAAGGGTTAGGCCATATAAAAAAAAATAGTTGGTTAGCGTCCTTAGCTTTTGCCAAAAAGTGGGCGGGCGGGCGCTTTTTTTTTAATTTTTACTAATTTTTAATGCCTTGGTTTTACTCACTGTTAGGTCCGAAACTGGATTTTCTTGCGCAGTACAGATATTTTTTTATATATTTCAAAATATGATTCATACCGTCATTTTCGCACGCAATTTCGCAAATTATTAACACAATTGACTACTGTCAACAGAAATACTACATATATTAGAGCCCGTTGATCAATAAAAGTCGGGGTTTTTTTAAATAAAAAATAAAAAAAAATCCTGAGCGGGGCCTTTTTTGTGGGCGGGCGAAGACGCTAACCAACTATTTTTTTTTATGTGGCCTTATGGTAGGGATTTAAGTTATAAAATAGGGTTAGTGTAAAGCTTTGTTACGTTTTGTCATTCTGAGGCCAGCGAAATAACCTCTTACGCAACATGCATGCGTACGCGTCTACTATCGTCAAGAAACAATCAATACGTATAATCGTTGTGGTCTGTGGGATTTTAATGAGATTTAATGACCTTGCAGTTTTAACACACATTAGCCGAATTCATATTAGAGACGGGAAACTCATATTAGACGGGAAACTCGTCTTAAATTCGAATTTATCCGTCCCTAAATTCATATTCAGGCGGGTTTTCACAGACGAGTTTCGCGTCCCTAATATGAATTCGGCTATTCAAATATAAGGGCTGGTAAACTAAAAATAAAAACTCCTTATATTGATAAACATTATAAACGTTCATTTCATGTACACGCACGCTAACACCTGTTAATAATTAACTTACGTCTTCGTAAACATTATTTAAATATAGTCGATACATAACTGGTACATTAATTTAATAATATGGACAAAATAGAACGAAACCTCTGAAAACAGCAGTTGTAGTTCTAATTATTTTGGTAAATTTAGTAACAAATATAATCCCTAAACAGCTCATCGCTTTGTATGTTAGCGCTATTAAAAGTAGACAATATTGAACAGTGATCTGAAGTTATCATGCAACTGACAACAATATTATATCTCAAAATACCTGTATATGATGATATTTCACAAATATATCGGGATGTCTGGACCAATTTTAAACTTAGCAAGGCAAAAAGTCTCCATTCAAGAATATATCTTCTTATCAAAAGGTAAAATACTTAAAATACTTGATTAAATTGTTTACTTCGACGGTATGTAAATTAACAGCGTTTGACTTGCAAGACGTCAAAAACGGACGATTTCAACGCGCTGTCGTTTATCGCGTATTCATTTTCCAAAAGAAGTATTTACGTCAATTGAAAGCTTGTTTATTAAAGAGCCAACTAGTAGAAGCATGATCGATTTGGAGCTTTATCGCATGGTGAAAATCGATTTTGTTAAGAGGGTATCGTAAATGAAGTAAGATAGTGTGCTCCAAAACTACGATTATTTCTATTCCTAAAAGTAACTCAGATTTCCTGTAAGTCACGTACCCGGTCCTTTGAATAACCGAAAACAAGATTTTTAGGGTTTTAGATCGATTAGAAACGGTTGTCGTCGTGAAATTTGTCGGTAAAATCAGCGCATATTTTCCCAGACAAAATGGCGATTTAGGGTGGTCGTGTTAAAACGGCATTTTCTCAAAGTTAAAAAAGCATTTGACCTAAAAAAATATATGGTGCATTTTCCGATATAATAAGGTATATCTGGGCAAAATTTGAGCAAAATCGATTTTTCCGTCGTGGCCACCTTATGTTTGATTTTTGTGGACATCCTCTCTTAAACTCTCTATTTTCCCGTACAACTCGAACGGTCGAAGTCATGAAAAACATAATCAGGCGAGAGCAAAGTACAAACTCCGCAACATTTACAAATAAAGTTTTGTTAAAGTATAGTTTCAGACTTTGAGTTGTACAAATTTATCTCTAGTCTTCAGTCTTGGTTAGTAAAACTACAGTTGGTCCAGTTGGAGGCAGACCATGATCTATTCGCCTTCGCTTTATTAGCGATGGCATTTTAAAGCTTCCATGCACTCCAGACATGAATGTCAGCAGGAAAAAGCGACTGGCAAACGTGTTACCGCTATTATGTTTGACAATCACAATCAAAGCAATGAAATATCATATTACATCATGAACGTCAGCAGGAAAAAAGCGACTTGTAAACGTGTTACCGCTATTGCGGTGCCCGTGCCATATATTTTTGGCACCGCATTATATTCTGCCTGTGAGTTTGTCCGTTTGTTAGTTTGTTCGCATCAATGCGTTTCCTTAATCGCTCACTAAAAATTCCTTGAACGTGCTCGGAATTTATTAATTACTGTTAATCGTGTTCTCTCATGATGATCGACTGTTTGCTCGGCTTTTTCTCTGGTTTTATGCGTCAAACAAGGACAAAAATAGCACTGTTCGAATCAGCGTGAAAATTTGTGTTTACGGATGGAAAATTGATTTCAAAATTGACTTCTGTTCCAGCGATTTGTCGCCTTTGAAAGACAAGCCGCTCAAAATAATCCTTCACGTTTTCCGAATTCCTTCTTTCGAGGAAAGTTTTCTTTCGAATTCATCTCGAACTCCCACGATTGACTTTTTGCTGCGTCTTATCTCTGGTTTTATGCGCCCAATAAGGACAAAAATACCACCGTTCGATTCAGTGTAAGAAATTATACTCACAGATGTCAAATGTATTACTAAACTATAGTATTCTAGCGATTTATGGCCTTTGAAAGACAAGCGAAATTGTATTGTTTACAAATCGCTCAAAATTATTAAACTAATTAAAAATGCAGTCCATTTGGTCCTTGATATTAAACTTCGGAATTGTTGGTTTTCTCGTTTTCGGCCGTATGCCAGTGGATTCGTCTCACTTTTCTCCTCATTTTGATAGTATTTTGAGCTCAAAATATTTTATTTTGAAGGCTTTACAACGCAGTTTTGATTATAACGTACGGACCAACTGGCGGCCGACAGGAGAATGTGTAGCGTGCTAAATATAACTTTACTTGTACATGCAGGGAAAACGCCGAAGTTTTATTTGTAGGCGGGCACCGCATTTTAGTACTGTGTCTGGTTATATTTGACAATCGCAATCACAATCAAAGCAATGAAATTAAAAATATTATATTACATGTAAGTGCCAACAAAAAATGGCGACAATGCATACCGAAATTAAACTCTTTAATTTAGCGCAATCATGGCTAATACACATTCGCTTTAGTTTATATCCTGCGTAAAGTTTACATTAAATGCCCGTTTAAAAGTATTAAACTGGGGTTTTTTCACGACTTCGTGTCCTGCAATTTTGGTATGACGTCAAACTTTCGATTAAGCTTCATTTTCTTTTATTCATAAATTGTAAATTGAATAAAATTTTATTGCACCCATATATAGTCAGCACGCGCTTGCGCTCAGAGAGTTGCGAATACAAAAGGAAAAGGGTGCACTTGAACCCGCTGCACTCGTCGTTCTAGCATGCGAACAGGCGTTTATTCAGGTGGGCCTCGTATAAACGACTGTTTGCCGGCATTTCGTCAGGAGACTCCCCCCCCCAGGAGATTCGCTCTCCCCCTCTCAAAAGGGGGGCGATATTCCTATAAATATCACCCCTGGGGGAGACGAATATCCTAGGATATCGCCCCCCTTTAGGAAAATCGCCCCTCCCTATATAAATTTTAATTTTTTTGTCTAAAAACAAACGATTGCAAGTTGAAAAGAGCATTGAAAAATGTGATTTATTTATTTATTACCATAAGGGGACAAAATTCATAGACATTTTAGGCTAATTAATATTCTGAATACTGAATAATGCTCAATTTATAGGACAAAATGTTTCTGGGCTTTGAATGGGCATGACACGTTGTACATACTAAGACCGTCTATTTTATATTTTGAAATTCGATCAATTCCATCATGGTTGTGAATACAATGGTTCGTTGTCAATACATGGTTCAGTGCCGTAGCTAGCATGTATAGTTGGGGGTAGGCCAAAAATTTCCGAATGACGAAGAAAATTTCTGAATATTTCATGGCATATGAAGCTAGGCATATGAAGATAGAGGAAAATTTTTTTCCAATCGAAAATTTTGGGCGACCTCCCACCCCCACTACCCCCCCCCCGTCGCCAAAAAAATTTTGGTCAGTGTACCATTTTAAGGGGCTGATTACATGGAGAGTTTTCAGCCCGGGCTGAGTTTCAGCCCGGTTAAACGAGCTGAAATTTCATCACGATTACATGAGCAGTTTCAACCCGGGCTGAGTTTAGTCAGAGCTATATTTATCATCAACCCGGGCTGAAATGTCAGCCCGGGCTGAAATAATCTGAGTGTCACGAAATAGGTCAATAAGCGTGTTACGCTTCTTTGAAGCAATCAGACACTGATTAGTCCAGTATTTGACTTGTGTGAGACTGTGGTGATATGTAAAGTATTTAAAAATTAAACAAACACGCAAAATAAAGCCATTTAAACGGTTGTTTTTTAGGCCGGGCTGAAATTATTAGCGATTACATGCATGCCGAGCTGAGTTTCAGCCCGGGCTGAAATGTCAACCAGGGTAGCTCAAACCGGGCTGAAATTTCAGCCCGGGCTGAAACTCAGCCCGGGCTGGAATTTTGGTCATGTAATCGCTTGCTGTGTTTTACTAGGATTTTATCCTTAGGCCGGGATGAAATTTCAGCCCGGGAAACCGGGCTGAAACTCAGCCCGGGCTGAGAACTCTCCATGTAATCAGCCCCTAAGGGTCAAAAAATTTTTCCGGACATACCAAAAGTCAAATATTACCTATAAATTGCCTGAATCTCATGATTTTCGTACAAAAAGCATATACTATTATTGCCGTAATTTTTCGAATGGCCAACCCGATTTTCCGAACATGTTAATTCTACAAAAGTTTGGGGGGTGTTAACCACCCCCCCCCCCAATACCCCCCTCGCTACGGCCCTGACATGGTTGTCAATACAACATAGCCATAGGAAAATAACATCACGCTGAGGCGAAGACAACCAAGTTCAAATTTGGCAAATGTGTCACTGCACAACTACTGTTAATAATAACAATGAAACTAAACGTATTTCTTCTATAAACACGATAGTAAATTTATAGCTTAGCCTTAGCTGATGTGGTGGTATAGTACTAAATACCATAAACACGATCTATATATAAGAATTACCTAACCAATTCAATTATTTTCAATGAATGTCAATGAATAATTTGGTGAATACTGCATCGATAGAGACAAGTAGATTTTTAGTGCTCTTTATAATGAAATTAAACGGTTTGATTATAAAAAAACATATAGTTTATGCATGTGTCAGTAGTAACCCTTCCTTTCCCCCCCATCATAAGCAATTTCTTACCGATCATTGATCGGTGATCGGCTGTTATTTCAAGCTCTGTCTTAACCATTTTGAATTGATACTGATTTGAAATGACTAAAGCCATGTAATAATTATTAAGTGCGAAATTTTTAACGGAGGAAGAAAATCCTAAAGGAATGGTGAAGTTTCTAAAGGGGGCGAATTTCCTAAAAGGGAGCGAATTTCCTAGGAATTTCGCCCCCCGGGAGGGCGATATCACCAGGAATTTCGCCACCCTGGTGGGCTGGTGGGCGAAATTGTTGGGGGGGGGTAGCCTGCGAACAGGCTATCAAGCTGAATTGAGAGCCTACATCGATGACTAATGAATTTGAATATCTGCCCCGTAACGTTCGTTTTTCCAAATATGGAATGTCTATCCTTATATGGTGTTGTTTACAACTTTCGTGCAAACTAAATTTACACCATACAAACTAAATTTAGACCGTACAGTTTATACTGTGTTTCGAAATATAAGATATTGAAGCAAAAGTTTAAATGTTTTAAATAATGTTTTCTCAAAACAGAACATTTCGTGCTTTGAGATAAGATGGCCAAGACCAATTTGATCAGTTAATGTGTTTTTTATGCATAGTGCTTAGCCGTTGACATATATAGAGCTCAGCGGAATAATATAAATTATAGCATCTGACCAATGAGAATTTCGCGTCACAATTTGAGACGCAGATATTCAAATTCATTAGTCATGGATGCAGGCTCTCAATTCAGCTTGAGAGCCTGTTCGCAGGCTAGGGGGGGGCGAAATTCCTGGGTCACCTGCATTCCTCAATCTGTGATGTTTGTTTAGTTGCGTTCCGCATAGAACATCGCAATGTTTCCGCTGAACACTTGTTTGGTTATGTTCTTTTAGTTTTTACAAACAGTCGGTCTAAATTATTAGCGCATACGTCATTAGTACGTTATGGGGGCAGCCTCAAACTGAAAAATATGTGACAAGGGGCGACTCCAATTTTCTAATTCTTTCCTACTCATTTTCAATCTCTCTCTTTTATCGTATCCCACAAAATATTTCACCTTTTTAGTTCTTATAATTGTAGTTTCCATAGTTTATTACATATATACAGTTCACCATAGGAGTCGGAGTAAATAACAACCATTTTGAACACTGGTCTTCTAATTATTTAGGCTACACAATTAATGTTTTACACCAGTACTTGTCCCATTCCCTATTTTACACCAAAAAATGTAACGAATTAAATGTTGGAAGGGGGGGGGGGGTTCCTAAATTTTCTGGGTGAAGGTGGGGGCGTCTTGAAAATAAAGGGGCGGCTATAGAAAAATTTTTAGTATTTGGTATTTATTAAACACCACCCCCCTTCTCCATCCCATTATTAATGACCGGTCCCTTCGGAACTTAGAAATGAATAGATACAGTCATGTAGACTTTATATAATTACTTGTATTTTTAAATTTCTAAAAGCAACGACCACACCACCTCTACTGATTAGTTCGTTCTTAAATAAAGAGAGTGATTGATTGATTGATTGATTGATTACCAATTTACAACGGAGCTAGAGCTATATCACTGGAGTTTATCGTCAGATTTTCAAACTGGCTGATGAGTTTAAATTTCGGGCTAATTTGCAGTATACTAGCCACCAGTTACCGACTTGCTTTTCACTGTTTTAAAGACTGCCTTATAATTACGTCATTCTTCACCCATTTGAAGGAAGGCATTTTCATCGCTCGGCTTTTCAATAAAGTTCGTTATTGATTACTTAGAACGATCTGGTGGACGAAGAAGATGATTTAGATGAGGATGATGATTTAGATGAGGATGATGATGAAGACGAAATAGACTTAGAAGATGAAGACGATGCAGATGGTGATATCGATGGTGATGAAGATGATGATGTAGATGAGCGTGATGACAGTGATGATATCGATAATGATAAAGATAATGATGGTATCGATAAGGATAATGATGATGATGACGATGATGATGACGATGATGATGATGATGATGATGATGATGATGATGATGACGATGATGATGATGATGATGATGATGATGATGATGATGATGATGATGATGATGATGATAAAGAGGATGGTATTTATCGCCATCATCATGGTAGGAAACATCATCATAGGGGAAGACATCATCACAGAAGAGGACTATGTGTAATGGTAAGATTTACATTTTATTTTCCAGCGGCAAGCCAGCACCAACAAATTGGGCGCTGCAGGATAATCATGTAATTCCTTGGCACGAAACATCCCCCAAGGAAATTTAGTAAATTTGCGAATTTTGTTGTCTCCAGAACTCTATAGTTCGTGCATTTATAAGTGACAAGTGGTAATTCACTATTTGCTTCCTAGTCCCTTGGAATATTTCCTTCGTATTCGAAAAATTGGTGAATATTGAGGTATAATTATGGCTTAAATTTTAAGTACTGGAGAACGCACATCTTTTATAAGCGGCTATGATTAGGTAAGGGATAATTTCTGCCGAATGTAATGAATAAAAGTTTTTGTGGCTTCGGAAAATTTCAAAATCATGAATCAAAGTTGATATGATGCTCATGTCTCCGAAGGGATTTTTAATGAGGACTTGCATGTCGTCACATTAATACACATAACTATCAGGGCCGTCGTTATGGGGGAGGGGGGGGGGTGGTTATGACAACCCCCTGAAAACAGCTATCGGCAAAATAACGGGTTTATCGGCAAATTGTTTTCCTAGGCAGCGAAAGTATTCGAGTGGCTCGGATTAAAAAGTAACAGTTATAGCAAAAATTTAGATAAACTTACTTGGACTTGCATGTCATCACATAAATACACATAACTACCAGGGCCGTCGCTATAGGGGGGGGGGGGACAACCCTGTGTGTGAAAACAGTTATCAGTAACATAACGAATATATCGGCAAATTGTTTTCATAGGCAGCGAAAATATTCAAATGGCTCGGGTAAAAAGTAACAGTTATAGCAAAAATTTGGGAAAATTTACGAATATTATTGAAAAATTTAAAAATTACGTACGGTACATTAATGCGAAAATTACTGAAAAATGGTGTTGCCGGAAATATATTCCCCCCACCCCGATCTCCATAAATTTTGGGAAAAGAAATATTAATTAGCGACTGAAACGTTGTCGGTAAATGCGATACTACACCATCCTACTTTAGCCTCTTCGCTACGGCCATGTTAACTATAGGTTTGGTTTTTGGCTTTACCTGGTTGAACGAGGTGTTTCGAAGTTATCAATATTTAAATTTGTATTTTTTGCTTTTGTTTGTAATCTAGCGTTGCATGAAGGTTGCAATGGAATGCCGCAAGAAAGGTGGTACCAGGAGGCAATGTTACAGAGAAACTGGAATGTGTATGAAAAATTGCAGTGGCGGAAGGGTTTGTATAATATAGAACTTGGTTAGATTATATTTCAGAGCCATCATGCATCGGAGAACTATATAATTAACAATTATACCATGAAGCTATCAGCCATATATGACGAGAGGGAATGGTATAATTGTTTTATAATATAGTCTAATAGTCATTAACTGAAGCAATAATTTATTATCCTCTGTTACAATGTCTTGATAATTTGTTCGGCCAAAAACCGCTTGGCCATGAAAATTTGAAATACTTTTGTTTTACAACTCGAAGACGAAGAGAAAGAAATGGTTTTAGAAACGGTATATCTCACAGAAAAGCTCAGATATATTTGTACAGATGTTTGGTAGTATAGTAAGTGCTTGTTGACTGCAAATTCATTTGTCTTTCGTTGCAAACTTTTCTAAACAATTTATATTCTCAATGAACATGTTTTTTCGCTGTTGTTTCAGTATTAATTCTTTAAAAAACTTGCATTTAAACTAATTTCTATGTAATAAATGTATTTTGCTAACCTGTCAAATTTTTTTGAGAGTTTTTCCTTGTACTATTATCTTTTCCAAAGCGAATATTTTCCTTTTTCCTGCTTCGCAAAACTCATGTAATTTTCGGACCGCCATCTTGTTTTTCGCTACTCGCCGTATATGAGCTGATATACGGCGAGTAATTCAACCAATCAGATTGCAGAACAGCTCATATACGGTGAATGACTATATTATAATATATAATATATAATATATACACGAGAAAACCCAACATTGCTCTGCCAAAATAAAGTTGACCCGAGCTGGATTTGAACTCACACATTTAGCTTCCAGATGATCTTGATACGCGGAAAATTACTGGCACTAGTTGTCAAATAGAAATCCATTCTGTGATTAAAACAACTGAATATCTCCTGTAATATACTTTATTTCGATTCCATATTTTTGTCAGAGCTATAGTTCTTATAACCAAACATAATTACAAAATTTCAACTAGTTTCATAAAGAATAACGAAAGATATAATTGACTGAATACATCAAAATGGATTTCTATTCGGACAACCCTTTCTGAGCGCTGATTGGTTAAAATACGAACACGAGATCACCTGGTTTGGAACTGAATTATGCAAATATTCTGAATACGCTGGATGTTCAGTCCAATGTAAGCTGAACATATGATTTTAAATCCTCTTCGAGTCAACTTTTTCTTGACAATACAGTTTTGGGTTTCTATCATGTATTATTATATAGTACTTAGTACATTCTTTCACTCGATGGAAAGCTACGAAGCTTTCCGGTCAATTTAGATTTCTCCATTGCTTTGGCACTTTGCATTCAATTTATTCGCTATGTTATTTATGGCCTCCCACTTTTTTCATTTCTCTACGTCTTGTTATAAAGAAAATGTAACTCAAACAAATGAACATGTTCTGTCCTTCAGGGTCCTCATCCATTCCCACCTGGCCCCAAGTTCGTGAAATGTGGGGTAAGTATTAACCACATATATTCACTGAGAACGAGGGAATTTGGAATAAGGGTATATAGCTATCAAGTGTCAAAGTCTCAATACTTCACCTGGTACTCCGGAAACTGTAATAGAACCGACCGGCAGACATGTGCTGAAACTCTTGAAAAATCTTTGAATTTGCCAATTGGCGCGAACAGCTCGTACCACCCTTCCGGTTTTATTTATTCACCGTTCAATAATTGTTTCATTGTTGACCGGTTGCTCCCTCGCCAAAGCGTGCAGTGAACATGATGTTTTGTGAATCGGCACGTGATATTACGGTTTTGTCCAATTGGCAAACAGGAAAATTGGACTTTCACACTTGCTATATTATAGTTAGTATTTGTTGATCAACTCAGATAGTAAATTAGTTTTATTATATAAAACAATCTTTATTTATTTCAAACCGCTACTGGAACGAAATCTCCATAAATCTCCTGATATATACAATGTCCAAAGAATAAACATTAAAATAAAATCCAAAATTTTCTGCCACCAATGAAGAGCAAGAAGTATTTTCGATAATTATCTTTTCACAGCTGAAAAATCATCCACACACGAGATTTTTTAAATCTGTTTTCTGTCCACTGATTATTAAGTACTGTTTAATAAACGAGCAGGAGTGTTTTATTAGGTTTAAAGCCACGAGCGCGCAGCGCGAGTGGCATTAGACCTAATAAAACACTACCTGCGAGTTTGAAAAGTTTATATCCATTTGGTTTGCAAGATGAGTCATATTTTCAACATCAGATTAATGTATTGATGATGGGGGGGGGGGGGTGAGATAGGAGAAGGAGGGGTCAGCTACCGTCCCTTTCCCACTTTTCTTCAGGACTAATTTTGTAATTTTATCAATACTGAGGGGACACAGATTACCAAAAAATTTATATAATTTGAGATATAAATAAGAAATCCAATTGGGTATTTGAAATTAAAAAACTCATTAATAATTCATGAGGAAAATACAAAAGAATGAATGTTTAATCAATGTTTGTAAATCGGATAAAGATTTGTCCTGATTTACATAAACTTCAGATTTGATTTTCTCGGTTTAGACAATATTTATTTTTAAAATTACTTCACCAATGAACTCATGAGATGGATCGTTTTTAATTTTGGCTCAAGTTTGTATATCAGATAAAGATCGGCTGCTCATGTAATGTTTTATCTAGTATCTAATTGCATGTGCATAAACGTGCACGTACATCAAACCGTTTGAAATATTATGAATATCTTATTTCCGCCTAACTTTTAGTAATGTTACAACATGTGTGTTAATCATAATGTTCATTTCAATAGATAATCTGCACAGAGAAACTGCTTGATTGTTTGGAGAGTAGGAACACTAGCGGCTTTGCGTGCAGTGACCAGATGGCAGTTTGTACCAAGAAATGCCAGGTCTGACTTTAGTTAATTCTTCTTTGATAATAGCCTAAGCTTTATTTTTATGAAGATATACCTGCGTTGTCCCGCGATATGTATAATATTATGATATAGAAATTTACGTCTCACAAACCACAAAAAAGCAGCAACCAATCAAATCATTTTTATTCAGTACTTGGGATATTAGATCAAGTGAACAATTATACAATCTTTTTTCAGAAACAAATCGACCCAAGGACGACAAATCGTACAGTAAACCCAATTTCTTATTCATGCTTTGTAAGTACTTTGTCCATTGTTTTTTTAGTCCTATTTGATTTACCGTATTTCGCTGACATTGTTCGGCAAGTATCCAATCTAGTACTGTCCCAAAATGAAGTCAAATTTAATGATTTACATACGTTGCATATAGAGTTACGACTACGTTTTCGATTGGTGGTTAGAAGTAGAACATGGACTGTCCCCATATACTTTCTAATTCAAAGCATGGTAATCCAAAGCTCCCTCGTATAGATAAACCTTTTTCAAGTTAAGGTTTAAAATTAAATGTTTTAGTTGTTTTAATTTCTCGATATCTTCTATTTTTATGAATATTTATTATTTATACAGGGTGTATAAAAAAAACTGAACAGATTTGAAATTGCTCTCAATTTCGCAACACAGCTCAGTATTATATAGTATCCAGTTTTTGATGTATGTAGCTTCTTTGGGTACTTATAATGTAGAATAATGAAAAAAAATTCTCGCACACAAATTTCGTAAACCAAGGG